GGGTGGGGTGGAGATGAGCGTGACAGACCACACGGAGCAGAGTAGGGAGTCTGCATGGAAACGCAGGGTTGTAGGAGGCTGACGTTTATTAGCGTCACTTTTACAGAACAGACCTTTTCCTGATGGTCACGACAGTTTTAATTGTATATGAATTCTTCATGATATGACGTTAGGTGTAAAAATCAGAATCTAAAATCATTGGTGCACTACCATCTGAAAAACACAACATAAAAAGAAGGAAATGAGTGCGTATTAAACGGCTTCTAATTGGGGATGGCGGAGCTACACGGTCGACCCCCCCTTATCCACAGGGGATCCCTGAAACCACGAATAGCACCAAGCCCTGTGCACACAATGTTTTTCCCTCTATGTCGATATGTTTTCACTTGAAGGAATCGGTTTGCAGCTTCTCTTTGGCGCATCCGAATTGCCAGCATGGCTATGCTCGCGCTGCGGGGCCGTTATTGAGTCAAGTAAGATTGACTCAAACGCGAGCATGTGATATGACAGTCGATCCGGTAATGGAGATGGCTGCTAAGTGACCAATAGGTGGGGAGCGTCTCCGGCGGGACAAAGGGAGGGTTCGTGTATATTCCCACCACTTTCCATCCCACCCTGGATGCTTTGGAAGCACATGCTAGAGAACCTACCATTTCATCTGTAAATAGTTTAGTACGTGTCACCAAAAGATAAAGATTATTTGTAAAGAACATGAACACCATATCTAAGGTACTATAAATCTTTAATTTTATCAAACATCCTGTCATCATTGTTTAGATTTCGTGGATCATCTCATAATTTATTTGCAGTTTATTTTGTTAATCTCGGGTAAAAAAAAAAAAAAAAAGGTCCGATAAGATGATCGCAGGTCATGTTATGTATTCCTGCCCCAAACTTTGAATCAGGAATTTCTCCAAACGTCTCTTTGTTTGTTTGTTTGTTTGTTGGCAGAAAATGGTACCGAAGACTACAATTGGGGCATGTCTCATAAGCCCACCAAAGGCCGTCTCCATTGTTGGGACACTGGTTTTCAACTAGAGTGTTCATTTTTTGTTCTTTCTTAGAATTTCCATTTCTCTGCTCGCCTCGCCCATCCATCCTTGCATGCTGTTGTTCAATTCACCCATTAGAGCCTTTGGCATATTAATTAAAGTTGTTTTAAATTATCCTGGTCCGAGAATTCCAAAGTCCCCACCATGTCTGGTTCTGACACTTGCTCTGTCTTCTTCAAAGCATGTTTTTTGCCCTTTAGGATGCCTGGTAGCTGGACATGATGTACCGGGTGAAAGGAACCATTGTAAATAAAACTTTCGTAACGAGGCAATGGGATATGGAGGAGGAGGCA